GCACGCACGTGATGGAGATTTACCGCTGATTACAGAACCGGCTTTACTGATAAGATGCGCGTTAAATATCGCATGCGATTTATCGTGCAGCCCTACTTAGTATAAACGCTTCGGTAAGGGTGACAGTTAAGACGTTTGTTGCAACACTCCTAATGAAATCCCTTACCTCAGGGATTTTTTCCCCCTCAGGGATACCCCTAAGTCAAATTACTTAAGGACTTTCATGCAACCGGGCCCAGACCCTTAAACATGCACCATTCCCTCAATAAATCAAAGCAATGAATAGTTAAAAAATTATCCTGTGCTTACGCCACAAAATTCAAAACTCTGCCATGTTGGATTTGACACCCAAAATACATTGGCTGCACCCCATTTTGCATACTTGTGGACAAAATTAATCTTGAGAAAGCTTTCAGAAATGCATACTTCAAAAATTGAATATACATACTGATATATACAATCTAAACACCTATGATAAACTATTTTCACTGTACTAGTATTTGAAATGCATATACTTTTAGATCGCATACTTCTTAGTATGGATAGTATACAAATAGACACTTGTTTTTGTACTGCATACTATATATGGATAGTATGTGCTTTGTAACACTCATTTTTAGCTTGCATACTTATAGATAGTATGCAAACTGGCATTTGTTTTTAGCTTGCATACTAGCAAAGTTGGATAGTATGCAGATTGACACTCACTTTTAGCTCGCATACTACTTAAACTATTATTATTAATAGTGAATAGTATATAAATTGTGACACTCCTTTTTAGCTTGCATATTACTTAATATAGATAGTATGCAAATTGTGACACTTGTTAGCTTACATACTACTTTGTATGGATGGTATGTGAATTGTGACACTTATCTTGTGTACCACTTAATATGAATAGTATGCAAATTGACACTGATTTTTAGCTTGCATACTAAGTATGCATAGAATATAAACTTTAACACTCGTTTTAGTACTTAGTATGGATAGTATTGAATTAACACTCATTTTTCACTTGCATACTGCTTAACATGGGTGGTATGCCAGTTGTGACACGCTCATTTTTATAAGTACTTAGTATGTATAGTATGTGAATTTTGACGCAGCCAATGCTCATTTGATATTCTGCCCCACCCTCATAGTTTAGCTGCTGATTGGACGCTTTTTGGGACTTGTGTGTTTTTCACCTCTACTGTTTTGGTGCACTTAGAATGGGTTGATTCTGGGAGATAGTGAGCAATACTGTCTTTGACCTCATGCATATGATGTTTTTTAAGTGTGTATAGTGATGATGTATTGATAATGATTCAACAGTGGTCCCAAATTTCCCCCATCTCTCTAATTTATCTCAATCTCTCCCCCTCTCTGTCATTATTAACTCTATTCTTTTCCCCTGTTTGGGTTTTTCAGTGCAACACCATTTGGCCAGTATGCAGGAGAGGAAGATAAAACACGAAAACGATGGCGTGCAGTTTCCTTACCATGGTTAGACCACATTACCCTCATATTATAATGCACACAAGTGTACTAAAATGTGTCTCTTATCTCTGTCTGTCTTTCAACCTCTCTGCTGCATCACACACCTCAGCTCTTCTCTCTGATTTGCTGTTTTTCCCGGTGCTCGGAGGTGGCGGGTGTTTTGTGGCCTGTGAATGTGCTTTCATTTTGTTTTGTGCATCAGAAGTCTCTCCGTACATCCATTGTTTGTGCTAGATTGTGATATAGGATCCCTGTGAACCGAAGCAGAAGTCCAAATCCTGATTTCCACAGCATTCCCAAACATGAACACTTACAAACGTGGCTATTGTGTTGCGTACAGCAGCAGGCCTTTCCAGATATTTACTTAGCGTTTTTGTTTGTTTCTTCTCCATGCAGGATTTATTGTAATTAGTGTGTGTGTGCATAAAGGGGTTTATATGCTATAAGCAATATCTCAGCTGTTTATTCAGCGCTCCTATGAGATCTCAAGCCTGTATACGCTGTAACGTCTGAAATATACTCTACGCAAGTGTGCAAATGCAAAAACAAGCTCGGTTTCACGCCTCATTGCGATCCACAAATTGTTTGAACGCAATTCATAACATGACACCACAAATACGTCTCTTATTGTCAGTTTTCTCTTTTAGCTCAACTGTTGTCACAGCACAGCAATGCTTTAAGAGAATCTTGCTGCACAAGTTAAAGTTAGTTTAACTGTTCTCATGATCACTTTTATTTACTTTCCCAATAGACTTTTTGTACAAAATGTGTCAGTGCACAGTATTCCTAAGAAATAAAGGAGTAATAAAATAAAGTATTAAACATGTATATATATTTGAATTAGTGCTGTCAAACGATTATACACAGTACACACACATATATTATGTAAACAAAAACTTTTATTTTGGATGCGATCAATCAAGATTAATCATTTGACAGCACTAATTTGAATATAATATGTACTGTATATATTGTATGCATTAATTTTATAATATTATTTTACAATAAATTTTATTATTACTATATATTATTACTATTACTATACCATTTATATTTCATTAAATGTATTTATTTAATTTTAAATAATAATAATGATGATGATTTATTATTATTATTATTATTATACAATATTTATATTTTATATACATTTTATATTTTATAGTTATAATATATTCTATTATATATAAGGTAATGTATACATATTACATAAAATATATAATATAAAAAATATAAAAATGTATCATATAAAATAATATAATGTAACAGTAATATTAATAATAATGAAGATAAAAATGTAGTAATGGTGTATTTAAAATTTGTTGTATTATTTTATGCATTCATTGTATGTGAAAATGTTGTTCTTAGTAGTAATATTTATATTTTATGTACATTTATTTTATTATATTCTATAATATATTCTATATTATTGATAATATTATTATGTAATTTTATATTACTATATTTATTACATATTTGTATGTATTATATGATATGTATATTTTATACATTTATTATTTATTAGATTTATGCATTTATTTAAATGTATTGTTTTTATAAAAGTGTTATTATTATTATTATTATTTTGTCATACAGAGACAAGACAATGTTTCACTGTCCAATCAATTACCACTGGATAAAAAAGGACCCGCTTACATTTGTTTTGTCGCTGAATATCCTGTTTCGCTCTGAAATCCATCAGACCGGGCGTTTCACATTGACTGTAATGGCACAGACATTTGAAGGTAACTCTATCAGCCCCTCGAGTACGCCAAAATAGATTACGCAAGAATAGCGACAGTAATGTAAGAATGCATGCTGTGTACGTACAACAGCAACTTGTGTACTTGCACAGGGTACGTTTCTGGCCCGAGGGTCCACCTACATCTGATCACATTCACTGCCGCCCACGTCATGATCAACACACAGTCGCACAGATCTTAATCTAGGGAAACATGGGTAAATCCCACCAAAAAAATGGCAGCATGCTCAGGTGCTCCTGATGTCATGGGAATACACAACACACACACATATTTACACCCACCCCACCCCTAAACACTCGAAACACACACACACACACAGTCTGTGGCGCAGCAGAGCTCTGGTCCAGATGGCTCCTCCATGTGTCGACAGCGTTGGGAGCTACTGGGTTACAGAAGACATCTGTTACGCCAATGAAGGCGGTGGTGGCGCTCCGAGCGCATGTGAGTGTGTGAGAGTGTGAACCACGCTACGCTCTAAAGGTGATTCACTACCTGAACGAGGCTCTGGCAACGCTGCAAGGTGACGGTGTCATTTATCATTAAATCTGGTGTCACCCGGCGTACACCGGCAGCCACTTCATTCATACGCCCCCATCGCTTTCTCTCGCCCTGGGCCGACACTGATATCATCCCGCCTATTTTTCATTCTCCTGCACTCTCTTTCACCTTGTTAGACTGTGCCACTTTGTCTGTAAACATCTGTTTGTGACGGTTTTGTTGATGTTGAGAGGGTCAGACAGCGAACGGGGTTCCCACAGGCATGGGAAAGCAAGAAATGTATGAAAAATGTGAGGTTTAGAGGAGTTAGGCAGAGACTTTGAATTAGTTTAATACTTTTATGAAATGGTTTAAAATATTTAATTTGTCTTTCTGAGTGTAAAATGACAAATTATTTTTAAAAATGTGTTGATTTAAAAAAAGTAATGAAAGTTTACATTGTGAATATGACTTTTAAAAAATATTTAATTGGCAACTAATTGGTCTTTTTGATTGTAAAATGACTGAAATTAATTTAAAAAATATTTCCATTGTAATTATAACTTTTTAAAATAGATATTCATTTGGCAAGAAATTTGTCTTTTTGAGTGTAAAATTAATTTAAAAAAAGATTGATTAATGAAAGTTTCTAATTGAATTATCAAGCGTAGCGTTAGTTCTGGCAGGTCACGTCAGTCAATCTGGCGTCAGCTGACTCTCAGCTGATCCACATCTACCTATAGGGATGTGACATCTATCACATATATATACACCCATATATAAGGCCCTTCAATATTATCAGCAGCTTTCACGTTGCTCAATAGCTAATTACCCTCCTCCATCCCCAGCTCCTCCTCTCGTCAGTCAGGATTCACCCTTATGATTCCCCATTGAATCAGACTCATTTCTAAAATGTTTACATTAAATTATTGAGCATGAATGATATCCGCAATACATTTATGTTGGTTCTGTTCTGTTTACTCTAAGGGGGTTATTGCTGCTCTCCCTGCTCTTATCCATGCTAGGCTGCATGGATGCACAGGGAGTTCTTGCCCAGAACAGAACCATACCACTCATCCAAACTGTATGCTAATTGTCAGTCATCTTTGATAAGTTTTTTTAATATTCATTTGGCAAGCAATTGGTCTTTTTTTAGTGTAAAGTGACTAATTATTTTAAAAACCTGATCGATTAAGAGACTAATGAAAGCATCCATCATAAATATAACTTTTTTCAAAATATTAATTGGCAAGGAAATGTTCTTTTTGAGTGTAAAGTGATGAAATTATTTTCTGAAAATTTGTTGACCAGAGAAATCATATAAATGTCTGTTTTTAAATATAGCTTGTTTTTTGTTTTGTTTTGTTTTTTCTTGAAAATATTTAAATAGCAAGTAATTGTTTTTGTTTTTTGTGTGTAAAATAAATGAAAAAAATATTTAAAAAAATCAAATCAACTGAAAAAGCCACAATTTCCATAGTAAATCTACAATGATTTTTTTTAAATGCTTTAAACTATTTAATTGGCATCAATCAACTGAAAAACAAATCATTAGGCAAAGGGCTTGGGAACCCATGTGTATTATTACTGTAAGTTCGTGGCAGAAGTGATTTGTACTTGGATTTGTGACTTTCTGCGTGTGTCTGTAGAGGGACTTTCTGATGATTGGATGGTAAATGTGTGTGTCTGTTTAAGAGCGTGTGTGTCGTGTGAGGAGGCGTTATATATGGCATTTTTTGACAGGTCAAGGTTTGATTGGCGGCCAGCTTGTTAGCGTGGCGAGACTGGAAGGTCACAGGAGCGTTTGATTGGCTGCCAGTCTGCCAGAGCGTCAGGGCTGGCACAAGACACAGAGAAATAACACATAACCCATGATTTTACCACACACACACACAAATACACAGGCTAATGTGCAAGATCATGGAAACTGTCAGCTGCAACTCTGAAGGTGTGTTTTTAGCGGCGATTTTCAGCACCTTACAGAGCATAATTTATGTGCATATATAATGCATATATTTATATAGCCACAACCTTACTTATCTTATAATGTTAAGAATATTAAATGATTATATTATAATATTTACAGTATTATTAATATTATTTATACACATTTTTGTACGTATGTGTGTATGTATATATATATACAGCAACAAACAAAAAGGTTTTAAGGCTTTAACACTCATATATATATATATATATATATATATGTGTGTGTGTGTGTGTAATTAAAAATCATATTAAAACCTTAAAACCTTTTTGTTTGTTGCTGTAGATTGTCTTCTTTACAGGAAATAACGTTTGTTTAGCTCTCCCACAGTAACTCCACACAGATACCGTAGTAATGATTTATCGTGCGGTTTGTTTGTTTAAAACAAAATTCATTCTCAGTGATCTTGTGTAAATATCACACTTTGTTGGATTGCACAACACTAATTTTTTTCAGCAGACAGTGTTGCTTTTAAATTTGCCAATCCTTTCACTTTGAAGTACACTAAGAAGTTTTGTTCACACCACAATTTCCCCCCCATTTATCTATAATTTGCGATTAATTTGTCAAAAATATCTATTTTTTTCTTTCTCAGACTTTTGAAAGTAAAATTTTTGGCATTTAACTCTTTCGGGGAGGCAGATATTTGTTCAAACGTGACATTAGCATAATTAGCAGATGTGTGGCTTCCTCACGCGGCTCTTTAACATCTTAAATTGGGTTTTTAAATCACCACTTAGGATAATTGTTTCCCCCAAAACTAGCCACAGGATTTGATGGTAAACTCCTTTTCCTTTCCTTCGCGAGTCCTGACATGTTTGGCCGTGTTTCATGGTCACTGTGTGAGCACGGCGTATATTCAGACTTCGCGTTTCTGCCAAACTCAGGACAGCTGAAGCTAGCAGCCCTGCGGCCTCAGTTTGACATTTATAGGATCAGGACGACACATTAATGCGGCATTATATACGAGAAGACCAAACCATCGCATACTTTCTGCTTTCATTTCCCTCATCATTCTCACATCACGCTTCCCGCCTGTCCTCCTGTTTTTGGCATGAGCGTTCGGACCTGCCGCTGGAACAGAAGCGCTTGTGTTTGACTTTTTCCCTCTGCGCTGAAAAGTCAAGTGAAAGCCTCTGATTTGGTTCCCCAGGTGAAGTTTAAGAGTGTCTATATGTCAGAGTCTGTACACAGCTAGCATTTTCGTTTATTTACTCATTTGCATTTGGTTTGTGAAGACGTGTCGTCCTGTTCGGTTGGCATTAGTAATGCGGTCGCTCGAGTATGTTGAGATTTGGAGTCAGTCTGAACACACATTCACATAAACCAGACAAGTTATTAAACTAAATGTGTTTACTCTATGATGTTCGGTTTTAGCAGACTTTATTTAGTTCGTTTTGCTCAAGTGTTTGTATAGTATGTTTTTTTTATTGGCTTGTGATCTGTAAACTGATCAACTTTGCTGACTAGTAGAAACTTGTTAAAGAGATGTAGCAAAATCATCTGGAAACGAAGAGATTTTTGTTTATTCTTGCTTTTATATTTAAATTGCAGATTGTGATCTGTTTTTCACCTCTTAACTAATGGCAGAAATATTTTGTTGTGTATTTGAAGACATTTTATTTGAATTTTTTTAATGCTTTTGGACTTTTTTTTTTTTTTTAATAAGTAGTGGAGGACCAGTAGGTTTTTTTTTTATATGCTAATGCTAATATCTATTAAGCTACCCATTAATAATCTATTAAGGCTACTAATAATCTGTTAAGGTTACCCATGGTTGTAATAATACTTGTATTTGTATGTTTTTGTTGTTGTTGTTGTTGTTAAAGTAAGTGGGATGCACATAAAATTTTAACAATATTAAAATTATAAAACATTTTATACTACTGTATATATAGATATTGCGATTTTAAAAGAGAAACAAGAGAATTTAGCACTAAAATAAGACACATTAATCAATTTATACACTACCTTTCAAAGGTTTGTGGTCAGTAAGATTGAAGAATTAATACTTTTAAATACTTTTAAACAGCAAGATTCAATTAAATTGATCAAAAGTGACACTAAATACATTTATAATGTTGTTAAAAAAATCTATTCCAAATGCAGTTTTTTAATATTTATTTTCTATTTTGTTTCCAGAAAAATATTAAGCAGCAAATCTGATATTGCCTTTTTTGTTGAACTGTTATATAAAATCAATGTCACATTTGCAGTCTTTTGGATATTCAGGGAAAATTGCATTCTCATAGGTTTCAGAGCAAAATAAGAACGTATCAGTGCTCACTTTATACAATTTCTAATAATCTTTTATATGATTGAATCTTCAAACTGCTAACACTTTGCAGTTTCGAATTATGCCCTACTGTAAGTGACGGAGTAGGCTATTTTATGTTTCAGTGAATACACATATTCATTGCAAACGGTTTGTGAGGGAACGCAAAATATCTTTGCGAGAGAACGCAAAAAATAATTTCCTCCCACCCCGAATTTTTTTCCACCACCATGTCCCTTTATGGGCTCCGTAGTTTTCAGCATTGATAATAATCAGAAATGTTTCCTGAGCATCAAATCAGCATGTTACATTGATTTCTGAAGGATCATGTGACAATGAAGACCGGAGTAATGATGCTGAAAATTCAGCTTTGCATCACAGAAATAAATTGCATCTTAAAATATATTCAAATAGAAAACAGTTATTTTATATTATAAAAATATTTAACAATATTACTGTTTTACTGTATCAAATAAATGCAGCCTTGGTGAGCATAAGAGACATTATGAACATTGAAAATTGTACTGACCCCAAACGATTTGGAGGTAGTGTATGTATTGATATATCACTAGTAGTTTTGTTTTGTGTTTTTTCTTTAGTGTCCTTGATAACATCACTGTAAAAACTGAGAAATAGAGGCAAAATCCTGACATTCATGCTTTGACACTGTACTCTTTCCTTTGAGATTTGGTGATTTGAAAGTGACAGACAGACAGACTGACATGAGTTATTATGGGATCTGCTGTCGTGGCATCTATTTTTCCACTTACAGCTGCATAGAGACTAGGGCTGCACGATATATCGTTTCAGCATCGATATCACGATGTGCGCATCCGCGATAGTCTCATCGCAGGATGTGCGATGTTTAGTATAGGCTACTGATCGTAATATTTATACTGATTGTTTTCTTTGCTCACACACAGACACTGTGTCTACACCGGACGCGACAGCTGTACAGAGATACCCTTTTTAAATACATTTAGTAGCAGAGCTACTGCAAGCGATTTTCAGTGCTGGAAATCCGTTTATCCTTTGTTGACACTTCCGCGTCGTCATGGAGAGCGCAGGGCACGGTTGCTTAGTAATGGCAGACGCCATGAAAGCGCAAGCTCCCGAGCGCTTTGGAAAGAAGGAGAAAGCGGCGCGACTGGTGTTTTCCATGCGTTTTTAGGCGCGACATGTGAACGGCTCCAAAGTCTGTCTACACTGGAAGCAACAAACCGACCGATGCCCATCATTTGAACTTTGTGTCAGTACGTTATAAATAGAATGAGGCATCCGTTTACTGTCGGGGATTTGTCGTGTCGCGCACAATCCAGTGTAGTCAGTCACACAGCATCACTGATTATAATGGGTTCTATTGTATTTTGTCTCGCCGTGCCTCTTGCGTCCGGGGTAGACACGGTGAGAGCCACGCAAATGCACGTGAACACTGAATTCCGTTCACTTCTGCGTCTATTTGTGCCTGAAATACTGTGCTCTGCAAGTATCCTTGTAAACACAGATGCTTATGGCTTAGGTGAAGGTAAACAATTGAGAAAGAAAATGGATGTGTAACAGTATATTGGTTCACAGCAGTTTAATGTTACTGTTGCTTTCTCTGTCATGAACGTTAATCAAACAACAAAACACAAAGAAAAATCACTTTTGTAGCTTTAACACGGATTTGTTAGATTTAATTTATTGTGAAAACTATGCAGTGTTATTTTACATTTGATTATTAAATTTTCTGTACCTGGATACTGTTAGACTTACCTGAAAAATATAAAGCACTGCTTATTTCATTTGTATCTATGTTCTGTTATTTATCTATGCTTGTAATTTTTTTTATTTCCTATGCTGATTTACTCGCCTACAAAAATCACCCCAATCATTGATTTTTTTTTTTTTCCAAATAGAGCTATTGAAGTCATCTGATTTTTTTATATCGCAATATATATTGCAGAAAAAACAAATATCGCAATGTGAGCTTTTTCCAATATCATGCAGCCCTAATAGAGACCCTTCCCAGCCCTGTCCCGACTTCTATCCCACTCTTTCCTGCACTCCACTGCTTCAAAGCAAAGCTCGCACCCTGGACCTGTCAGCACTGCAAAAACACAGTTCTTAAGCAGTGTTTCACCTTGTTTTCCAGTATAATTATATTAACATCCTTAAAACAAGATGCATTTACCTGAGTCAAAATCTTATTTACACTGAAAAAATTTTTTCATTCTATCTAAGGGCAAGTTATTTATTTTTCATTGACTCAAGTTAAAAAATATAGATGTGAATCATTACCCTAAATTTTTTTAATTGGATGAATGAAACATTTTTTTCAGTGTACATTTAGTGAAGTTTATGCTTAATATATATTTTTTGCATTCTTAAGATAAAGCAATTTGACATTGGGGTTAAAAAATACATTTATTTTTCTTTTTATTTAAGTGTATTTTTCTACCTCATTGGCAAATACTTTTTATCTGGTTAAAGATGTTTTTACTGGAAAATGGGACAAAATACTGATTAATAATGATTTTTTTGCAGTGTGATTGGCTTTTCTATACTTCACACCAAACAAAAAACCCTAGCAGTATCTTATCTGTAGATTAAAAGATCATTTTTAGTATTATTATCAGCAAATTTGTCGTATTTTAGAAGCTGAGATGGATAAGATAATTTTTTTTAGATGAAGATCAAGAAGCAAAAACCCTGTTTGATTAAATCCACATCTCTGTTCTGCCATTTTGTTGATCCCATTTTTACCAGGACTCTCGTCGCCTGGTTCTCTTAAGAAGTCGGGGAAATTCGATTTCAGCGCTCTGTCCGGCCATACGAGGTCTGCACGCATGCCGTTCACCCATCACCCGCTGCCCATGCTGGCAGGTGTAAGACCAGGTGAGAGCTCAGAGCCCCCCCACCCCACCTCCCACATCCTTCCCCTTCCTGTTCTGCTCCCTCACACCCCCTGGTGGGTTCGGATGTGGTGACGTTCGGGGAGAGGCAAGGTCGTGTTTACGCCACGGTCGGGTCGGGTGAAGGCATTCGCCATTCGACCCCCCCCACCCCTCACCCTCTTTCTCCTCTGTACTGAGGCTGATTTGTCTTTTTTGTCTGTCTGTCTGTCAATGTGATTGGTTGGTGATTGGTCTCTCCATTTCCCGACTTCATTCTCCCTCAGCTAGAGGCGTCCTTTCACTGCCCAGATGCACGTGAGCTTGTAAGATGTTGTTTTAAATGCTGTGCAGCAGTGATCAAAGTACATATCCACTCTCCTTTAATGCAAGACTCACAGGATTAGAAAACTGCATTTTCAAAGATGTTCTGAAGTATTTTATCATCTATTTTCAATTAAGATGGAAGAGAAGGAAAAAAATATAAATGTGCCAAAATTAGACATCACAAATCTTGTCATCAAATCAGTGGCATTTGTAGATGTACTTTTTTTGTAGATGGACTTTTTTTGTAGATGAATACACACTAATTTACCCATTATTAATTCTTTCTTTTCAGAGAGCTACTTAAAACGTACAAAACTATGATAACCAGCTCCACTGACAGACAAACGGATGGATGAACGACAGACAGTGATAAATAGACATACAAGATAGATAGATATATAGATAGATAGACGGATGGATGAATGGATGGATGGGCAGAGGGATAGATGGATAGACATACAGATAGATAGATGGATAGATAGATAGACGGATGGATGGATGGATGAATGGATGGATGACAGACAGTGCTAAATAGATAGACAGACGGACAGACGGACGGACGGACAGATGGGTGGATGGAGGGACAGAGGGATAGATAGATAGATAGACAAACGGATAGATAGATAGATAGATAGATAGATAGATAGACGGATGGATGAATGGATGGATGGATAGACATACAGATAGATAGATGGATAGACATACAGATAGATAGATGGATAGATAGATAGACGGATGGATGGATGGATGAATGGATGGATGACAGTGCTAACTAAATAGATAGACAGACGGACAGACGGACGGACGGACAGATGGGTGGATGGAGGGACAGAGGGATAGATAGATAGATAGACAAACGGATAGATAGATAGATAGATAGATAGATAGATAGACGGATGGATGAATGGATGGATGGATAGACATACAGATAGATAGATAGATGGATAGATAGATAGATAGACGGATGGATGGATGACAGACAGTGATAGATAGATAGATAGATGGATAGATGGACAGAGGGATAGATAGACAGACAGACAGATGGGTGGATAGATAGATAGATAGATAGATAGATGGATAGACATACAGATAGATAGATGGACGGATAGACAGGTTCAGTTGTGTTTTTGCGTTATATGTTCAGATGAATTGCTGGTGATGTTATGCGATGGCTCTTGTGTGGTCCTGTGTTGTGTGTAGCAGTTGTGTTTAGAGCTGTTGTTGTGGAGTCACTCCTGGTGGGAGGGGGTCTTTGGTGGCGGTAGTTTGCGGTGCCATTTGCCTCCTTGAAGCCTTGGCTCCATCCCATTCCCTAATGGGATTAAAGGGTGGATGATGAAAGCGCGAAAGAAACGGAGGAAGAGGAGGGAATAGCAGTCTGCGTGGCAGTGAGGGTGAAAAGCAGGGCTTTGGCTGGGAGCGCAGCGCCCGCGTCTGGGTTACAGGGAGGCTCTGGAAGTTGGCAGACTGTCCCAGGCAGCTGGGGGCCCTGCTTGTCTGGAGGAGACAAGACCCCTCACCCCTCCACTCGCTGGTCGGGAGATGAGCATAATGTTATTCTTCATGCAAATGAGAGCACGTCATGACTTATCAACTACTGCAGTTCGTTCACATTAGGGTTGTGCTGATACAAAAATGTATCGACATTGCATTTTTATTCCTCATTGCACATACTTTAAATCCTCATTTTAGGATTTATCCCCTTGTTTTATTTGTTTATCTGTGCTTTCATTCAGTTTCCTACAGTTTAATAAACAAAGAAGCAGGTTGTCTAAAGTACAAAATCTGGAACTCATGTTCAAGTGGAAGCAATCAGTCTATCTTCCACATTTATGGTTGATTGGCATAGTCGTCCATGTTAGAGTTTGGGGGCTCTGTTGGCAATTTGTAGTAAAAATTATTACATCATCAATGATGAAATATTATGATAACATAATGAGAATTAAGAGGCTTTTTTTGAACTCTGAGAGCATGTTGGTGTTTGTCTGGACAATTTTGAGTTTGAGAGATTATAAGAGAGCGTGAGAATGAAAGAACACAGGAAGAGATAAATATATATATAATAGGCTATATATTTTAAATGTTGTACATAAATCTATAATTTATGTATTTAATATATATATATATATAATTATTATTATTTATGAATAGTTTTCCAAATGGGGTTTTTGTAATACTTTATAAATTGAGGCACACATTTATTTATACATATTTAATATAAAGCTAGCTATAATTAGTAAAAGCTTAACCGAAACCCTAACCAATAAAAGTTTAGCATTTTTGGATTTCAAAAATTTGATTATATAACGATTCATATATTTCTGAATAATTTTTACCTATGTGGATGTCCTGTAGGATCTGCCAAGGGAGGTTTTGATTTAGCTCTGTTCTTGGAACAGCTTTGTTTCTAATCTTTGTAAACACACACACAGTTTTCCTGAATTGATTTCCATCACTTCCATCTCATGTCATCTATTGTATCCTTGTGTGTCAGTCTCGATCATTACTGATATACTACTAGCACTTATACTGACACAAAACGTGTTACTGACCTCTCTCTCTCTGTATGTCTGTCTGTCAGCAGGAAGTCCCCGCGCCTCAGCTTCCTCCCTGCACTTCCCCTCACCCTCCATTATCCAGCAGTCCAGCCCGTACTTCACCCATCCCACCATCCGATACCACCACCACCCGGGACAGGACCCGCTCAAGGAGTTCGTGCAGTTCGTGTGTGCCGACGGATCAGGACAGGCTAGTGGTCAGGTAAGAGGAAGTGACCTCATACTGGAAGTGATGATCTGACACTGGGGTCAGTTGATTGCTGCTGTACATGTAACTTGATCTGCTGTATGTATTGCAAAAATGCTTGATGTTTTATGCAGCTATTCTCAGACTGGTTTATAGTGAATACTGGAAATGGCATCCTATCATACTACTCATACTAGTTTTGTAGTATGTATACTTATGCATATTGTCTGTATGCATAGAATAATGCAGTATGCAACAGAGAACACTGCATGGAATACTGTATCCCACAATGCAGTCCTTTCTGAAGCTTTACACTAGTATTCCATTTAGAATGTAGACATTGTCACATTCTACTGTATTAAACATTATCATTGCTTACTGCATACTGCTTTACTAATTTGGAAATACGGAGTATATACTTTGCAGTATGCAACTGTTTAGAGATAAGAAATTATGAGTTTAAAAAATGATTTATGTTGATGAAACAGAACTTAGCTTTCAAATTTAGCCAACATATTTGCCTCAGTCAAGCAAAATCTCTTGCCTCAAGTATGAAATTAATTCATATTTGTGAAACTAATGTTATCAAGCATTTAAAGAAATGTTGAATTGAGCTTACCGTTGTGAAGACAACTGTCACATTTAACCAAGAAGCCAAGATTGAAGTGGGAAATGAAAGCATCCAAAAACATGTTAAATAAGGCACAAATGTTTTCTTTTAGGGCTTGGGTTACTCTGTGGTCATTCTAATTAACTAATTATAAAATATTATGTATATATAAGTGAGGTTATGTCATATTTAGCACATATTTACTGTAGGGCTGCACGATATTGGAAAAAACTCACATTATGATATTTAGTTTTTCTGCGATATATATTGCGTTATGAAAAAAAAAAATCACCAGATGACTTGAATAGCTCTATTTGGAAAAAAAAATCAATGATTGGGGTGATTTTGTAGGTGAGTAAATCAGCATAGACAATAAACAAATTACAAGCATAGATAAATAGAACAAAGATACAAATGAACAGTGCTTTACATTTTTCAGGTAAGTCTAACAGTATAAGCAACTGTGTTTACAAGGATACTTGCAGAGACATGCATTTTGACGTAATTTCGCACGTATGTGTCATTAATAGACGCGGAAGTGAACAGAATTCAGAGTTCACGTGCATCTGCGCAGCTATAGAACCCATTATAATCAGTGATGCTGTCTACACTGGATGCGGCGGGGTGCGACACGATAAATCCCCGACAGTAAACTGATGTCGCGTTCTATTTATGACGTACTGACACACAGTTCAGATGATTTGCAAAGGTCGCTTTGTCGCTTCCAGTGTAGACAGACTTTAGCTGCAGCGCGGGGCGGCGCGACACGACAGATGTCGCGTCCGGTGACACAGTGTCTGTGTGTGAGCGAAGAAAATGATCAGTATAAATATAACGGTCAGTATACTATACATTGCACATCCTGCGATGTGACTATCGCGGATGCGCACATCGTGATATCGATGCTGAAACGATATATCATGCAGCCCTAATTTACAGTACTAACATTCAATTCACTTTTTTAAAAAACTTTTTTTATTTATCTATAATTACTACAGACCTGAATCCAAGTCCTAACCACTGGAAGAAAAAAAATCAGCATTTTTTGGTTTTTAAAATTAGATTATTTAATGATTCCTAAAAAACTTTTTTTTGTTCGATGTGCAAATAACATTATCAACTGTATTACTTTTGTTTGCATTTCTTAAATCACGAAACAAGCTCCTCCTGTCTTTTCCGATACAAACAAATGTGTGCGTTCCTTGTCTTTGAGGCCGACTGATTGGTCACTGTTATGTATCTTGTGCTTGTCTAGCCAATCTTGAGTTAATCTCTCCTTCTCTGTCCACTTCCACGATAAAACCCATCTGCGCAACAGCTGACGACCTCTGCGCATTTCGGCGTAGCGTGCATCCCCTCCTCAGTTCTGCTTATAGGACATTTTTTTAGCGTCGTGAACGTGGCTTGATTTTTTTTTGCGCCCTGGTTTTGATTTGACATCATTCCATGGACCAAAACTCACCTCACCATTAGTGCGTCCATTTCTTCTTCTTCTTCACCTTCTGCCTAAAGTCCTTCATTTTATTTTTTTCCAGCTCCTCCACTGCTCCTGTCTGTGCCTGTGGTGAAGTCAACACACAAACATGCACACAAACAAATACGAACACCCCCCTTCATAAACAAAAGCAAACAGACATTCATCCTTTTGGTTGTTTCCCTCTCAACACTCTCCACTACCAGCCACCCCCCATTCCTTTTTTCGGAGCTAGCCTGCGTTGTTTTTTCCATTTGCGGGGTGTCGGTCGTGTCCGTACTCCTCACCCTGTTTGTGTCGTCTGCAGCCGAACGGGAGCGGCCAGAGCAAAATGCCGGGCTCCTTCTTGCTGCCTCCACCCCCCCCTGTGGCGCGTCCAGTGCCCCTCCCAATGCCAGACTCTAAATCCAGCAGCACGCCCCCCGATGGCGGACTCACCTCACCCACATCTCCGTGTAAGTGACCCGACCCCCCATTCCACCAAACCCTATGAAGATCCCCAGTCGTCTAGCCACAGCTGGACCGCTTTTTGCCATTTAGTTTGTGTTCCTTAAGTTAACATGAAATGCCCATTATTCGTAATTTTTGCCAACTGGTGGGTCAGAACTAGTCCTTACTATTTTTTTTTCTCGTTTTTCTATGTATCCTAGTTTTGAGGCAGCAGTTTTAGTGGTTTAACAGTTTAACAGCCATCAAAATGTCACTAAAGTACGGAGCCCATAAAGGGACGTGGTGATGGGGGGGGGGGTAGTTGAGATGGGAGGAAAAATTATTTTTCAGTGTTTTTACGTTGACTGGCGAAACATTTTTGTTCCTCTGAAAAAATTGCATTTGTTCACAAAACGTTTTCATTCCCACGAGAAAGTTTGCATTCACTTGGAAAATGTTTGCATTCTCTCGCAAAACATTTTTGTTCCCCTGAGAAACATTTTGTTCTCTTGCAAAAAAATGTTTGCGAGAGAATGCAAAAGTTTTGTAAGTGAATGCAAAGTTTCTCGGGGGAATAATACTTTCACGAGTGAACAGAGAATTTCTCAGGGGAACACAATACTTCTGTAAGAGAACACAATACTTTTTTCAAGCTAATGCAAATGTTTGGCGAGTGAACACAGAGTTTCTCGGGGGAACGCGATACTATCAACAATATGATACTTTTGCAAGAGAATACAAAATTTCTCCCAGGGGGCGCAATACTGTACCTTTGCAAGGGAACGCAGACGTTTTTCAAGCGAACACAAAGTTTCTCGAGGGAACGCAATACTAAGTAAAGCTAATTGCTTTAATTTACAAGCAAATGTAAAGTTTTTTTGGGGGAACACAATACTTTTGAAAGGGAACACAAAAGATTTGCAAGTGAACACAAAGAGTTTCGGGGAAAAACGCAGTACTTTTGCAAGTTAACGCAAATGTTTTGCGATTGAGCATAGAGTTTTTTGAGGAATGCAATACTTTTGCAAGAGAATTTCTTGGGAGAATGCAAAAGTTTTGCAAGTGAACAAAATATCATGGGGGAATGTAGTACTTTTGTAAGAGAATGCAAAGTATTTCGGGAGAATGCAAACGTTTTGCAAGCGAATGCGAAGTTTTGCAGAATCCTTGAAAAATAATTTTTCCTCCCATCTCATATTTTTTTCCATGACCATGTCCTCTTGGGGGCTCTGTATCAAGGGTGCAAATTTAGGGCAGTTAAAGTGGACTCCAAAATACATAAAAAAAATAAATAAAATTTTTTAAATGCATTTTAGTTGAAACCGTTTTCAAAATGCAGCTATTATTGTACAAATCTCTTGACCTCATTATTGTGTGGCAGTTCTGGCACTAAAATCAAAACAAGATGGAAGAATCTGTATCTACCAAACTGGAAAGACCAGCTTTGACCCTCTTGAATTTATATTCTGGTCCAGGTTGGTTTGTGCTGGTCAAATTGCATTGCAGCCCTGATGTAAAAGGGCCTTTACACTCCCGAATGCAACATCCAGAAACCCATGCTTTGTAATTTTACGTTGGTTTCATTTGAGTTTGTTTTGGTTACGTACACATTGCTGGTTAGCTTTTGGCCTGTGGAAATGTGATAGTTGAGCTCCAGTGCTGGTCTAAAGGTCAGTTCGTCCAGTACATGAACCAAATTTGGGCCGTTCAGAAAGGAGGTGGCGTATCGGGGTGGATAATCAGACATACTGTAAAATATTCACTCACCACAGACGGGGCACTGGACGGAGCACTTGCATTTCTTTTCCTCTTTTCTATCATGTTTCTTATTTTTGTTTTTCGTTCCTTTTCATTGTGTTTTCTTTCATTGTTTCAATTGTTTTTTATGTTGTTTGTGTGTGTCTTTTTATGTGTTTATATGTTGCTGATTCTCCAGAACGCACGTAACAAACCTGATCACAAATTAAAAGAGAGGGGGTTTTTTTTGATACAGCATTACGCATATAGAGGTCATGTATTATGAGTTTACCATGGTTAATGGGGGTTGTTCGGGGTAAAGATACAAAACAAATGGCCTGAAACCCCCTTAGCCATTCAAAAAAATACACATGGCCTCTTGTAACTCATTGTTTTTTTTTTATATAATGGCCATAACAACAACATGGCGCAAACAGTCGGTAAATAATTAATAACAATGAACAGATTTCTTCTGCCAGATAATTTAGTTCTTTCATTTAACTGTAGGTGTTTTATGGTTGCAAACCACAGTCAAAGGTTTATAGAAACACAGTCCAGTAGTATAGAATTAAATTCTATGTTAATACAGTTTATTTGCATTAATGTAGAATTCAGTTCTGAAATTACAGCCTGTTATATATTAGTGTTTATATATTTATAATATAGAATTCAATTGTATGTTAATATAGAATTGATTTGCATATTGCGATTCTATATTAATATAGAATTTGTTTGCAATAATGTAGAATTCAGTTCTGCAATCACAGGAGTTCATATATTGGCATTTATATATTATATAATTAAATTATATATTATTGTAAAATTCAATTCTGTGATCATAGGTGTATCAATATTACCGTTTATATATTAGTAATATAGAATTCTGTATTAAAATAGAATTTAGAATTTAAATCTGCAATCACAGGTTTAAATGTTTCCATTAATATTTTACATACCCTATATAATATAGAATTGAATTCTATATTAAGAAGCTATTAGCATTCATGTAGAATGTCATGAACAAAGCAGCTTCTCTTTGTTGCCTTTTTGAATGTTTGCTGATGAAAGCGCTAACAGCAAACTGTAGAACAAATGCGGCTCTTTGTGTTTGATTTCTCCATGTTTTTACACACATACTGATTTATGTTAGATCTCTATATTTGATGAACAGTTACACAATGGAGTCCATCACATAAATCTGAATCCAAACAAAAACTGCCCTAAATTTGATAATGACTTCAAACCGATTTGCAGATTCAAACACCTTTTTAATCTATTGATCTTCAACCGTGTGAACCAAGAACAATCAAACATAGTGTATCTTTAATGATAAATTCTTACATTGCTTTTGTTTGTTGCTTGCCAACAAGTCAATTCAGTACAGAAAAGTTTCAGTTTCCTATATATTTGATGAAATTCGCACAATATATCTGAAGGTTTGCCTTTGCAGAATCAATCGATCTTTTCAAATAGATCACATTGACTAAAATTTGTTTTAATAACTAAACGATTTTGCAAACATTGTACAGGGTGATTCAAAAAAGAAATGAAATGAAATGTTTCTTTCTCTCCCTCAGCATACTCCACGCCAGGCTCCACAGCTCCCAACAGGTTTGTCAGCATCGGATCACGGGACAACAACTTTCTGAACATACCCCAGCAGACGCAGGTGATTCTTACTCGGTCATATTCAAAACAAACCTTTGAGTGTTTAAAATCATGCATCTTAACACGTTAGGCTGCTGCTCCCCTCCTGACTTTCCTCGTTTCCCATGATGCTCTCTGTTCTGCGGTGTTGGGCCCATCTGGAGCGGGTCTGCGATAATTGGAGCCGATCGGCGTGGTGTAGTTGATTTGAGTGTTGCGAATGTGCGGCCACCACACCACGCCTCCTCCATCACCCAGTACACTTTAGTCATTAATGTGTAAAGCACACCCGCCCCGGGCCAGCTCCCTGCTCTTCAACACATGGTGACCATCTGAAGCCGCTAACTCACCCGCTCTCACCTCCTCCCTCTGCTGGTCGGCCTCTCTGGATTTGACCATTTATTTTCCTCTCTTTCTGCTTAACCATTCCTCATTTCTACCTTCTTTAACTCATTTCTCGACTCGCTATCACCCTCTGCTGGTGACTCCTGTTTTTATTTTTCTTCTCTCCCGTCAGTGACTTCGCTTTGTCTGATTTGGCACATTTTATTCGAAATTTTAGAAGGCTTTTTTTTTTGTCCTCTCAGAGATAAACTGCTTGAGTGTGCAAATTAGCAGCGAGTTATCATAAGCAAACGTTTTGCGAAGATTCGTTATTTGCAGTTGCACTTATTTGTTTATTTTCAAAATGTGCTTTGAGAAATGCATTAGCTGTAATTCATTGTAATACAAGCATTGATAAAAGATAACTGCAAGAGGCAGTAGTGTTATTATTACACAACAACAGTAAAAAAAGTTTAAAAATTTGTATTGTTAAAAAAACTGCATTGAGAAGGTACATTAATAATTGTAATTCAATGTGATACAAACATTGATAAACAATAAATGCAAGAGGCAGTGAGGTAGTAGTGAAAGTAAATTGTTACTGTTGTAATAATTATTGCACGACAGCAGTGAAATATTTATTTTATTAGTATTTTTTTTATTTGTTATTGTTAGGAAAATGTGCGCTGAGAAAATGCACTGATAATTGTAATCCGATACAATACAAACATTAATAAAAAGAATAAATTATAATTAATTTGATTAATTTATTATTTTTTCCTTCAGTGTTATCCAATGATTAAAATATCAAGAGGCAGTGAGAATAGAAAAATGTGTATTGTTTGTTTGTTTAAGAAAATGTGCATTGAGTAAGTGCCTTATTAATTATAATTCAGTGTAATTTAATTTAAAGACATGTTTCATGAGGGTATCAGTGAACTTGCACTTGAGCGTGTCCCCAAAAGACATTTGGACACTTCAGTTATACTTTAAAATGTCATTACATTAGATAACAACATATCAAAGCAAGTGACGTATTTTGAAGGGAAAAAATAATCATTGTCAAACAAAACATCACACAAAAATGACTTTATCAGGTTTTCAGTCATAAATCGACAGAACTAGAGCTGAAAATGAAGACAGAATGTTTGTAACACTTGGTGTTTGTGAATTGTTAGTGGATTGTTTATTTATTTTATTCCAAGAAAATGTGCAATGAGAAGGTGAACTAATAATTGTAATAATCGCCAAAATGCTAGTTTTGTCAGAAGACACAAAGCAAAAATTACGTTAATGAAAGGAAAAGATCCTATAAATACGTTTTATTTTATTTTATCACACCACGCCTCCTCCATCACCCAGTACACTTTAGTCATTAATGTGTAAAGCACACCCGCCCCGGGCCAGCTCCCTGCTCTTCAACACATGGTGACCATCTGAAGCCGCTAACTCACCCGCTCTCACCTCCTCCCTCTGCTGGTCGGCCTCTCTGGATTTGACCATTTATTTTCCTCTCTTTCTGCTTAACCATTCCTCATTTCTACCTTCTTTAACTCATTTCTCGACTCGCTATCACCCTCTGCTGGTGACTCCTGTTTTTATTTTTCTTCTCTCCCGTCAGTGACTTCGCTTTGTCTGATTTGGCACATTTTATTCGAAATTTTAGAAGGCTTTTTTTTTTGTCCTCTCAGAGATAAACTGCTTGAGTGTGCAAATTAGCAGCGAGTTATCATAAGCAAACGTTTTGCGAAGATTCGTTATTTGCAGTTGCACTTATTTGTTTATTTTCAAAATGTGCTTTGAGAAATGCATTAGCTGTAATTCATTGTAATACAAGCATTGATAAAAGATAACTGCAAGAGGCAGTAGTGTTATTATTACACAACAACAGTAAAAAAAGTTTAAAAATTTGTATTGTTAAAAAAACTGCATTGAGAAGGTACATTAATAATTGTAATTCAATGTGATACAAACATTGATAAACAATAAATGCAAGAGGCAGTGAGGTAGTAGTGAAAGTAAATTGTTACTGTTGTAATAATTATTGCACGACAGCAGTGAAATATTTATTTTATTAGTATTTTTTTTATTTGTTATTGTTAGGAAAATGTGCGCTGAGAAAATGCACTGATAATTGTAATCCGATACAATACAAACATTAATAAAAAGAATAAATTATAATTAATTTGATTAATTTATTATTTTTTCCTTCAGTGTTATCCAATGATTAAAATATCAAGAGGCAGTGAGAATAGAAAAATGTGTATTGTTTGTTTGTTTAAGAAAATGTGCATTGAGTAAGTGCCTTATTAATTATAATTCAGTGTAATTTAATTTAAAGACATGTTTCATGAGGGTATCAGTGAACTTGCACTTGAGCGTGTCCCCAAAAGACATTTGGACACTTCAGTTATACTTTAAAATGTCATTACATTAGATAACAACATATCAAAGCAAGTGACGTATTTTGAAGGGAAAAAATAATCATTGTCAAACAAAACATCACACAAAAATGACTTTATCAGGTTTTCAGTCATAAATCGACAGAACTAGAGCTGAAAATGAAGACAGAATGTTTGTAACACTTGGTGTTTGTGAATTGTTAGTGGATTGTTTATTTATTTTATTCCAAGAAAATGTGCAATGAGAAGGTGAACTAATAATTGTAATAATCGCCAAAATGCTAGTTTTGTCAGAAGACACAAAGCAAAAATTACGTTAATGAAAGGAAAAGATCCTATAAATACGTTTTATTTTATTTTATGAAAATGTGCATTGAGAAAGGACATTAATAATTGTAAAAATCACCAAAACACCAGTTTTGTCAAAAGACACTGAGCAAAAATGAAGGAAAGTGAGGTTAGTGGAGTGACATTCAAACATTTTATATGTCTTTAAGTGTTTGAATACTTTTTCTTTTTTTTAAGAAAATGTGCAATGAGAAAAATGCATTCATTGTAAAAATCACCAAAACACCAGTTTTGTCAAAAGACACCGAGACAATGTTGGTGAAGAGAAAAGGTTTTTTCATTTTATTTTGAGAAAGTGCACTAATAATTGTAAAAACCACCTAGACGACACCGAGCAAAAGTGACATTAAGTGAAGAGAAAGATCCTGCGGTGTTCGAGACACACAGATACAGGCTCATCTAATGTAGTGACATTCAAACATCTTTAAGTGTTTGAACCCTGTATATCCGTACGGGGGAAGCGCTCTCAGCCCCGTGCCATTCCCAGTCAGAAACACGAGAAAAGAACTGCGGAAATGCGAGACAGGAATGGAGAAAAGAGAGGCAAAGTTGAAGCACGGCCCCTAAACTGAGAAGTCACGTCCCAACTGTCTGGTTGCCCACAGCAACGAGACATGATGTCACAGGCAGTTGAAGTTGAACTTGAGGGTGGGGGGGCAGAGCTGGTCACTGCCAAGGATTACGGGGGGAAGATGGGATTGCGAGAGGGAGGAGTACAGCTTACAGGGGAAGAGTTACTTGGCCCGAGTGGCTGTTGGGCGGGTGGTGGTGTTTGCGTGACCTGCAAGAGTCAACCAGAACAAAAGTTACCCGCCGCCCCTCCTAACAGAGCCTCTCAGCCAAAGTGTTTCAAGGATTTGACTTCGAGAGTTTTGTAAAACCAATCAGGAGTAACAAGCCCAGCTCTCGCTATCGTCCTGAGCGCATATCAAACGCTCAAGCACTTTTTCCACTTGTTTTACCAGTCAATACGAGGGGTTCAATAAATAGCCTAACAAGAGCTCTTGTGCAAGTACATTTGCCTCACAAGGCAAGGTATGCGAGCAGATTGGATAAAAGCATTCTATTTTTATATAAAATGTAAAGAAATTATATGAAATATATGTAAGGGTATTGTAAATGTTATTTTATATTTAAAATAATATATTTATATTATATAATTATCTATCAGTCAATCTATATATACAAACTATTAAGGATATTATGTAAAATATTAAGTATATAAGTAATTATGATTCTGATAATTGTGAATGTAGTTCATATATACATATGCATTATTATAAAGATATATATATATATATATATACTGCACATATACAATATAATTTTTAAATATTTAGAATATATATATATATATTGAATGTTATAAATGTAT